ATGCAACATGTTTGCAAGCTGCAATATGCAAGTAACCAGTAGGGGGAGTTGACAAAACAAGCTAAACATACTCGACATCGTCCCTCACACCGACCCTACTGGCCCAGCTCTCGATCTGGTCCGAGTTCTCTACTGTGCCCCCTAGTGGAATACTCTAATACTACGTGCAGTGCATCTTAAGCATGTGAACAAAGACGCAGCCTGCATCAACGCAAGGTTAAAAAGCTAGTATTTTCTGGCCTAATGCCTAAGTCTTCTAGGACCCAAAACCAAATTTACCTCGTTGTTGAATAAAGGCTGTTTGGGGTTTTTATGTTTATGTTTATTTATTTAGCAGACGCTTTTATCCAAAGAAACTTACAATTTATAACCTACAGGGCGTGTTGTGATCTGTGGGGGAACCAGGAGTACCCGGAGGAAACCCACACATGCATGGGGAGAACACGCAACTCCACACAGAAAGGCCGCAGCCGAGTTTCGAACCTGCAACCTTCTTGCTGCGAGGCAACAGCGCTAACCACTGCGCCACCATGCAGGGGTGTTTAATGTACCAAAAAATCTGTTCCATTTCTGAACTGCTTTCCTATGTAAATTAGTAATTTTGTAATGGCTGCTGACAAACGGTTCATCCTGAGAAACGCTGTTGAAACACCTCATAAGCTCAGATGCACTTCCTTACATGTCTGTGCTCTGCAGCGCCGCCTCTGCCAGTGTGCCCCAGGGCAGCTGTAGCTACATTGTAGCTCATCACCACCAGCTTGTGAATGTGTGTGTGAATGGATAAATGATCCAAAGCACTTTGGGAGTCCTCTGACTCTGAAAGAGGTATAAGAGCAAGTCATTTATCATTAAATCTGAATTTCCACTTAAACGTTGGGAATATTTAAACATTAATCAAGGTAATGCTAACCATAGAACAATGTTATCCTGAGCTACTGCTACTGCTAGCCCAAGCTACTGCTAACACTAGCCCAAACTACTACTACCGCTAGCCGGAGCTACTGCTACCGCTAGCTGGAGCTACTGCTAACGCTAGCCAGACCTACTGCTACCGCTAGCCAGAGCTACTGCTAACACTAGCCAGAGCTACTGCTAACACTAGCCCAAACTACTGCTACCGCTAGCCAGAGCTACTGCTAACGCTAGCCAGAGCTACTGCTAACACTAGCCCAAACTACTGCTACCGCTAGCCGGAGCTACTGCTACCACTAGCCCAAACTACTGCTACTGCTAGCCCGAGCTACTGCTATGGCTAGCCTGACCTACTCTAAATGTGCACCATCATCAAATGAAAATGATTTGCAAGTTAAATGTGGGTGCAGCAGGAACGTTTTAAAATATGTTTTTGCATCTAGCCAGTTTTGAAATCATGTAGTGAATAGAACAATGGCTAAAATAAAAATACATTTCGTTCAAAACAAAAATAATTATCAATTGTGAAGGCATGGGTGAATAAAGGCATGTGGATGCATAAATTGGTGTGTAAAAGTAATATAATGTATTCATTTGTGTTGGTTGTTTTTGACACTCGATCTTACTGGATTTTTTTTTTAATTCTCATTTTAAGACCACTTCAGGTGCGGTCTAATGCTTTATACTTTACGTCTGTATTTTCATCCTCCTGCCAAAAAGACGAAAGGAGCTCCCATCTCTTTGGATTCAGAGAGGATTTTAAAGTGTCACAGTGCCGGAATGACTGAAGGATAGCAACTTTCAGAATGGTGTGGAGCAAAATTTTGCCTCAAATTAAGGAAACCTATGAGGAACTCCTACTGATGGCAATCAGGATAAAATGAAGTTAATTTTTCTTTGAGGCGAGACACGGGAATCAGAACAGAACCTTCTGTAACTCCGTGGCTAACTTTTATGACTCCTTTCTGATTCTAAGCTACACTGACCGTTACTCGCCTCCAGAGTCCAACATCCTCCTGCCAGGCGACCACTAAGAGCTTCTCAGGCAGCAAAGTACACACATGACAATAAAAGCTTCTGTTACAGGACTCCAAGGTCCACTCGGCTAACAGATGCGACTACTGATGATGCGTAGACCTTTCTGGAACAAACATATCAAACATTTATTTACGCAGGTGAGTCTAGACGACCTGATATTGTTTAGCGAAGGTCATTTGTACATTTCATCCAGCAAGTGTGAATTAAATGTTCTTTGAATCAGATAAAAGCAATAATAGCTCGTGTGATGAGAGACTTGAAGCTAAAAATCTCAAATTAATACAAACAAAAGAATGTGGCGAGGGTTTGGGTTTTTTTTGGGTGCTGCTCAAACATTTAGCTGTACAAGAGCTACCTCAGTGAAAGCAACAAATCAGGCTTTATTATAATAAAGATTTACTATTTAAAATAATTAATTCAACAACGACAAAATAAAGTAAATGTTAATTTTCTTACTGTGTGCAAGCCCAGAATCCAGAACCATACACAATTTCAGACATGGGTCCATTGGCTGCTTCTCAGCCAAGAGAATGGACTCACTCACATTTTAGCCAGAACACAGACATGAATAAAGAATGGTACCTGCACACCCTCCCAGAGGAACTCCGTCCAACCACAGACTCTTTGCATAAACCTAATGTAAATGATCAACGACATCCTTAAAATCACAATTCTTCTGTATAGAAACATTTGACTATGCTAGAATTAAAAACGGATGCTGAGCTTTTTTCTTCTGTGCTTCGAGCTAATGGCTACAGCTACATATTAAAGGTGCAATTTGTAATAATTCTACAGTGAAATTATCACAAAATAGTCTAATGTCTCAATCTTGTTGGATGGAAGGATGCACTGAAACAGATTTCACTCCCAGACGGTGTCGGTACAAGATCTGCTCGGGTGCAAGATCGGCTCGGGGTCCGTCGGCTGCCGATTACATCAAAGTAGTTGATTGGCTGAACATGAACCTTACGGAATTACGTAATCACGTTACGTTGTTATCACGTTACGTTGTTATCACGTTACTTTGGTCCAGGCAAATCTTTCTGTTGGAAAGATGGACAACTTTTACAAAGAAATCCATCATTACCTCTTTGAAAATACACTTTTAGCATAGAGCTGCATGTATATTAGGGCTGAACGATTAATTTCATGTGCAATTAAATTGCGATGTGACAAAAGGAGATTTTCTAATTACAAAGGCTGCAATTTGGCAGCGAGTGGTTAGCGCAATGCTAATATACATGGAAAAACCCATAGAATGCTAATGCTAATATCACCGATTACATTCTTACACATTATGAATTAGAAAGGTGCCAAATGATTACATTTGGAGTCTAATAGAAAGTAAAACTACCATCAATCAAATAAGTACAGACAAGTATTTTAGTAAAGCCAGAAAACTTTTAACTCCAGAGTTTTGGCTAGCAGCTATGAGCGTACCTGAACTACTCATGGACAAGACGTCAAAAACTCTAAACACAAAATACTTCAATAAACGGGACACACTTTTTTCCTGCAAATACAGTTTCACAGGTGTTGCTAATACCTATGATCCTTCAAGGGATGTGCTCAAAGAGGATCAACATTATGAATACAATATAGTGTTTTATTTTACAAATACCATTATAAACACAAACTTACGTCTTAAGAAACATTATTTTAATAACGACACTGCTAAATTCTTTCCAACAGTTTAGATGTGTAGTGTATTTTGTCCAAGTGGGTTTGCCGTACTTTGACGTCATCGGCAGTCGATGGACCCCGAGCAGATCCTGTATCGACACCGGCAGGGGGTTGTCAGATTTTCTCCTTTTGAAAACAATGAAAACAGAATCTGCAGCAAGCTAGCGCAGCAGCACAGGAATTTGTAGTCCCACACCAACACGCAAAAAGCTCCAGAGTTGTTTTAAGAACCAAAGCCAGTAGACAGGAGCAACCCAGAAGTTATTTCTGGTACCCTAAGAAGCCACTGCATCTTTTAGTTTTACTCTAGTATCAAGTGAAGCAGGCTAGAGGCTACAGTTGAGCTAATAATGCTAACGGTGAATTAGAAAAAAAAAATAGATGGCTCTAAAAATATTTTGAGCTACATTTTCAGTTACCAAATATCAATATTACAGTGAAATGTGTGTGTGAAGTGAATAATGAGTCAATGGTGGAGATTGACTTCCTTTAACAAATTGGTCAGAACCATAACAGCAAGCTAACAGCACGATGGCAACAGGCCACACTTCCTCTAATGCCAGACACATATTACCGTAACAAATGTAGAAAGTGCTCCATACCGTAAAACATCCAGGAGCGCTAGCACCAAATATGATGATGTATTTATCTTCTTATCAACTTAAATTACCACTGAGCACTTTCCTGCTCGTCCGCCCTACTGGTTGAAAGTGAAATTTCAACAGTCGTAAACAACCCTGCTGCAGCCTGCTGTAGCTAGCGCTAACAACAAGCTAACACTAACATGAGCCAACTATTACTAAAATAAACCACATTGTTAAACAAAAAATATTATTACTAACAAATCCAGTATCAACAAAGCCAGGTCACCATCAGTCCATCATTTTGTAGCCTCCTTTAGCTCCCTCAAACTAGCGTAGGCCGTGCCAATGTTCACTCTGGTTTCAGCTCTTTGCTAAAGCAGGTTAAGGAGTCTGCGGAAAGCTGACAGTATCAGCAGACTTAAATGTTGCACTACGGTGAAAGTAAAACCAGTAGTGTCCTATTAACATTAGCTCCAAAGTATGTACACACCACTCTAATCTAAAGGTGGCCGTTTCCAGTCAAGACTCTTCGTCTTTAAACTATGAAACCATTTCTTCCTGTTTTGTACAAGTACTGTTGGAGACCTAGCGGTGTAGACTTGTATGATGGTGACATAATCCTTAAAGCAACAAAAGCTGGGGTAAGCATGTTGATATTGTGAAAGCTGTACAGTAGGTGATTGCGGTCTGCATCTATGCCGGGACACTCACAGGAGAAAAAGAAACCACTCTTTCAGTTCTGACATCCATCTTAAGCTAACACCCAGCGGGCATGGGACTCACCCTGTGAGGACGACCACAAAGTCCATTACATTCCAGCCGTTGCGGAGGTATGAGCCTTTGTGAAACGCAAAGCCCAAGGCGATGATCTTAATGGCGGCCTCGAAACAGAATATTCCAATAAAGTAGGGCTCTGTGTCGTCCTGCAGAAAGACAGGGAATCAGACAAGACTTTTTTATAAGAGGTATTTAATGACGTGTACAGAAAAAGAAGGGGAGAGGAGAAATATGACTTCTTTCACTTAGTGTAGCAGCACAA